CCAAGTGGTCTAAAACCTTTTAGCACACCAGGAGAAATGAATACAAACAAATTAAACTAGTTCAACCACTCACGTCTTCATGGGAATTGACATCTCGTGATTTTGCCATATCCATCTTGGACTTGGTATTGGGAGTTTTTGCATAAGACCACGGCTTAATTTTATTGAAAATAGTTTTTTTTATTAAATTCACTACATTATACGTTTCCTAATGAAAATATAACTCAACTTTATTTAAGTACCATGAAAGTTATTAAATTATTTTTGTAATTCAAAAATCACTCAACTTTATTTATATAAGGCAAAACGTCACGAGGAGGACAAAATTTTTCGTGGATATATAAGCCATTTCGTCAACACTCGTAACAAAGGGGCAAAGTGTAAAATTCAGGTGAGTCTAATGCTTTTAAATTTGTAAGGATTTTTATAAAGAAGTAAAAAGATGTGAGAAGAAAAAAGGGAAAACAAAGGTGAAACATCTTTTCCACAAAAGAAAACAAAAATATGTAGAGACAAAGAAAAAAGAGAGAGAGAAGGAAACGAAACACTTGTGATAGCCGTACACCTGACTAGCTTAACAAGCAAGGTGTTTATAAATATTCAAAAAATAACCAAATCAAAAATAATCAAACCATTAAAATAATTGATACTCTTTTGATTTTGTTTTGATTTTGAATTTTAAAAATCAGACAAATTTGATTTGGTTCCGGCTTTAATGAAAAAATAGCCGAAAAAATCGAACCGAACCAAACTCACTATAGAGGTAGCTATTTAAAAATTATTATTATACCTATATATATATGTACATTTTCAGATAAAATTTCTAAAAAATTATGGTACATGTTAGTCGATTGCACTTTTAGTCTAGTTTTTTGCTATTATAATAATATAGTTCTTTGCTTTTACATTCTAGTTGTAGTTTTCTTTTGCTAAGTACGGGATTTTTTTTTCATGTTAAAAATAATCTATTTTTAATTGAGTCCTTAAATTATTCATCACTATTTGATTCAATTATCCTCAATATATTCCGATAAATGATAGATTTTTCAAAGAGCAATTGGTATGATAGTGTTAGGTTGAAAATGTAGTCGTCGAATATGTGCTTGGTAGTGTATGTTTCGTCTTTAAGGAAAAAAAACGATTAAAAAAAAACTGAAAAACCAATAAAAACTGACATAAACCAAATCGATAAAAACACGATTTAATTGATTTGGTTTGATTCCAATAATTAAAAATTAATTTAATTAATTTAATTTTTCTTTTAAGAAAAAACCGATCCAAACCATAAACACCTGTATTAACAACGAAGCAGAACCGGTAAGAGGATAACTTAAACAGCGGATGGTGCGTTTTGAACCCAAACGCAACCCCTCCCCCCAAAACCCCAAAGGCTTTTATTCGCACGACAAATTTCGATTATTGTTAAAATCGTTTGGATGTTGGTAATTTGTATTCAAACACATATTTAGTGATTTTCTGTAAAAATAAAAAAAATAAAAAATAAAAACTCAAAACTTCATTATTAGACCTTATAAAGTGTTGAAGAAGCCAAAGTTGATCTTTTAATTTAATATTTTTTGACCAAATTGGTGATTGAGGATTGTTTGTGCTGGTATTTGGAAGCTTTATTTCAAATTTGAGATCATTTAGAGCAGATTTGAGGTGATTTAATCAAAATTAAAGATGCAAATTCGAAGAACACTTTGTTTAAAAAAACACAAAAAGGTTATGTCAATTGGATAAATTTCAATAATTAACTTAACAGATAGGTAGAATGAATATATCATAAGCTCTATTTCGTGAGCCCTCGTAACAAAGGGCCTTGAGTGTTTAAAGTGTAAAATTTAGAGTATAATGCTTTTAAAATTTTAAGTATTTTTAAAAAGAAGTTAAAATATGTCATAGAGAAGAAAAAACGGGGAAAAAGAAATGGTGAAACAAGTTACCCGAAAAGAAAACAAAATAGAGAAACGAAAAAAAAAAAGCAAAAAGAAGAAGGAGGAGGAGGAAGAAGAAATGCAGTTGCGGGTTTATATGGAATAGTGTGAGTGCTTCCTTTGACCAAATTTAGTAGATTTACATAAGCAATTATCAAAAAATTTAGATAAGTATTAAGTGGACACTCACAACTAAACTCATTTTCTTTCTTCTTTTGAATTTTTTTTTTCGCAGGCACTCATGACTTTAAAATCTTGGATCCGCCACTTAAGAAATGAACACATTTGTGCTAGCTAGCTAGCCATACACCTGACCAGCTTAACAACGAAGCAGAACCCGTAAAGTGAACTTACAACTTATTTGGATGGTTGTTATGTATCGTTTCGTAATGTATTGTATTGTATTGTATCATTTTGATGTATACAATATTTGGATAAATTGTATTGTTTGCCGTCGTTTCATGATATCATGCACTAACATAAGAAGAATAAACTTATAATACTATAAAGAAAAAGTAAGGTACGAAATAGAATTATCATATAAAAAGGTAGGTTAAAAGATTAAAAAAAATTATTTAATTATAAGAAAGGGCAAGATGAGAGGAAAAAAAGAGGTAACGACGCGACCACATCAAATTGGTCGTTCCATAAAGTGACAATTTTCATCGTTGTGTAACTACGAATTTAACAATATGATACAATAAAATTTAAGTAACAATCAAAACAAATATTATATTAAAAGTACTAATAGGATACAATACAACATGTAACACTCATCCAAACAAGTTGTGAAACAATGCACCAATGGGGACGGGACTTCCGAACCTCGCTCCTTCCCCCGTTGCTGCTTTGGACGACCAAAGCAAGAAAGTGCGAAAACCCTATACCATTACAAAGTCTCGAGAGAACGAGATAGAGTGGCCCCAAGCACTATAAGTTCCTCGAAGTTTTCATATATGATAGAAAATAGGAGTTTACCAAACAATATAGAGGACCAGATTTTTTATAGAGGACCAGGTTCTCTATCTATTTTACGGTAAATATATAGAAAGTAAAGAACACACAATATTTATGTGAAAAACTTCATGCTCACGGGATTAAAAATCACGATCTATCCTAGTAGTATTTCAACTTCACTAACTGAGCAAACTTCAAATTACAACCTATTGCACTCTAGGAATTAAACCATGAATCCCTCACCTCTTACAATAACTCTATTGTAAGTTCTTTGTAATAATACTATTACAAAGCTACACTCCTAATTAACTCTAGTCAAACAATCAGAGCAATAATGGTTAAATGTAGGGGTGTATATGGATCAGGTTGGTTCATTTTTTATCAAAACCAAACCAAACCAAACCAACGATATTAGTTTGGATTAGTTTGATTTTGTCGGATTTTTCGAATTTTCGGGTTTTGTTGTTATATGAATATTATTTCAATCTTACTTTGTTAAATATTTGATAATTAAATATATGTTTAATAAAAATTGAAAAAAATGACAAACATATGATCTATTAACATATTCTTATGGGAGAATTTTCTTTGTTGCATATGATAGTTATTTGTTTAGTCGCCTGACAATAATAATTCATTGATGTACACTTTCAAGGTTAACTAAATTTAATAATTAAACATAAAAATCATATGATACCTATATAATGATATATTCTATTTAATTTTAAATTATTGAAATATCACTTTAAATTAAAAAAAGATATAAGAATTTAATAGATTTAGACATATGAATATGGAAGAACAAAAAGATTGACGCATCTCACTAACACTTGATAAGAAAGTGATCGTACAACCAATTATTTAAAGTTAATAAAAGTAGAGCACTTCATATCTAACTAAATATTACATCATCGCAAATATTTCTAGATATTTTTAAAATAAAGTTTTATGAAAAGTCTTAAAAGTATATATAAAGATTATATATTTATATATCAGTTTGGTTCGAATTTTTTTACTCAATACCAAACCTAATCGGATTTTTTAATCGGCTTGGTTTGACTTACGGTTTGATATGATTTTTCGGTTCGGTTTGTACACCCCTAGTTAAATGATGTCCAACTAAATACTTCTAAAAAGCCGTGTAGGAATACAAGTAAATAACAAAAGACAAAGACACAACAAACTAAAGGACTCAAGATATATTCAATGTTGAGATTTGTTACTTGGTTTATAGCGGCTTTGTTCTTCAATGTACCCGAGGAAAATAGAGGTGGTTGCACACTTGAGAGAATATATGTTTTTGGGTGTGCAAGTGTTAGGTCAAAACCTTGTATCATGTTGTCTATATATGTGAGATCATAAGAGAAGATACAAGGGTATTTTCGGTTTCTAGCAAATTGCAGTTGTGTTGTTGCAAGTACAGTGCAACAGTTTTAACAACTGTAGAGTTGACTTGCGCGACAATCTGAGGATCTCATCCTATATGTTGCCTTTGCAGTTCCCGTATCGGATTTCCTCGAGAATTAAATCAGACAACAGAGTATGTTACAATGAGCACAAGGGAACTAATTGTATCAGGTTCCTATCTGGTTCTTCCATAAAGTTTGACAAATCATGAAAATGATACTCGCATAACTTATCAATCTGTATGTTTCCATTTCTATCCCTATATTCACTGCTTTCCCTTTTTTTTCATCGAGCTAGTCACTAGTCAGTGTGTAATGTGGGAAGAGGAGAGTCATGTGAACTTGAATGCGCTTTTATTACTACCATGGTTTGATGAGTCTGTAATGTCAGCGAAGGGAATTTCAATGAGTTCAAAATATTCTCAATTTGACGAGGCATTATTTGATTGAATGCTACTTCACTCAGAAATATAAACACCAAATTGACATATTTACTTCTCATGTTGATTAAAACAAAATGAGTACGCTCCGATGTTTTCTGCTTTTCAAAATTAACAGGAATCCAACAGGTCTTCAAAGACATCTAATGACATTTTACATGTTATAGTTAGATACTTAATGATTCTGCAAACGCAGTAGCTTATATATCCTGTTTGTTTTTTCCTTCAATTGTTGGAACGTAGCAATCCTATTTTGTAACATGCATGCAGTTTTGACCGTGGTTGGAAAAAGATTGGAGCATTTGTGGGATCAAAAACAGTTATTCAGGTAATATAAGGTATATGATCTTTTTGCATCTACATTTCTGTGATCCGATATTTTATTTAGCAATACTTAGTTGTATTGCTATATAATGCGAATGCGGAATGATTGCGCCACCGTATTAGCCCCAATTGCTAATTTTGCCGATATACACATGAGTCATGTTAACTTGATATAGCACTATGGCTAATGAAGAGTGTTGATATATAGGTAATATATATATTCAACCATCAATTCACCTGAATTATTCATGTTCCTGGATAAAGCTGGTGATATGTGGTGTGCACATGCACGTCATAATTAAGTTCCAATCGTTATGATAAACGGCTAGAGGAGTGGGTACATTTTCCACGAGTCACGCAGCTGGAACCAACAGATTTCTTTGTTATACTAAAACTTTTATTTTGGGATTTAGTCGGAAGACAATTTACAGAGTCGAAATATAATTTGTCCTTGATAGGTTTTGCGTATGACAGTTCTAACAGAGTCACTTTCTATCTTGTAATGGGCGTGAAAGGAAACTTGTACAAGTTTACACATATTATTGTTCATTTTGTTCTGGTTGGACACCCCGTCCTCCCCCCCAAACAAAACAAGAAATGGCCATGATTTTCTTGTGCTAACATCATTCCATTGAGTTGCTTCCCTCCGAATTCTAGAGTTGAGATTTTTAACGAACAATTCTATGGTGTTCCTGTTATACACGAAGCATTGAGATGTGTTTCAGAGCAAGCCTTAAATGTGGTGGATTACGTAGCCATGCACAGAAATATTTTCTGAAGGTCCAGAAGAATGGAACAAATGAACATCTATCTACATCTACCCCGTCTCGCCAAAAAAGGAAAGCTGCTCATCCTTACTTCCAGAAAGCGTAAAAAAGTGGTAGGAACCATTTATCTGTCATTTTGTTTAAATATTTTATCGTCAGCTTAACAAAGAAACAAGTAGTCATTTTCTTGTTCTATATTTGCAGCTCTGTCTGTCTCACCATTGTCTCCATCTTTTCAACCTTCCCGTTTGTTACCAGATCCTGGGTTTGCATGAAGGTCTGATTCTTCTTTGTTACCTAGCAATTCGATTATTGCTTCCATGCCGTCATGGACAGACCACACTGTGCAAGCTGGCAGTTTATCCCAAATGAAGAAAGGTTCAGTCTTTGTTGTATGCTCACATTTGTGGCATCTTGAATTTTGTGCTGAAGTAATTGTCTGTTCTTGTGTATAGGCAACATGCATGAGAGGAACATTTCAACCTGTGACCAATAACTACTGTATCAGTAGCAGTGAAAGCACTCCAACATCAAAATCAACACATGAACTGATAGAGGGGCACAGGGACCTTAAATGAGAGGTAGATACAAATATATGATCCGTTGACTTACCTATACAGATATAATGATGCAGTTTTCACCCATTGCTATATTTGCAAAAAGTTGAATCTGCTTCCATAATCATAGCTGTAGTGGGAGCTCCTTGTTTTGACTTCTCTCTTTCTATGCTTTGGTAGCTCCGTATTCGATTTTGCTTATGCCATCTTATCCTCTCTACCAACAGATGGTTCAATAGTCGGTTGATTCTGCACAATTTTAATTTCCTTTCCAACCAGCCTTTAATTTTGAGATAAAGATGATATCTTAGTTACATATGGTTAGTGATGTTTTAACTTCAATACCACACATAAGAGGAGGGTGATTTGTGTGGTGTCCAATTTTTCGCGTGCACAGATTATAGAAGGACCTGATTCTTATATGTATTCCTTATCCTACTGTTGCGGAATAATAAATGCAAAAATCAAAGAACACAAGTATTTTACGTGGAAAACACCTGGCTCAAAAGGTGAAAAACCATGACCTACTTCCCAGTAGGATTTTTTCAAACTCTCCACTAAATCACTGAGCTAAAAACTTCATTTATAAAATACTTTTGTAAACCTAGGATTAACTCTAATCCCATTGTGGCAACCAGCCTCTAACTGCTGCGACAACTTCAAGTTAACTCTAACTTGAATACTCTGAGTACCTATTACAATTGCCTCTAGATAAAGCTGAAAGGTACAATATGAAAACACCTACTACAATTGAACTAGAATANATTTACAAAATACTTTTGTAAACCTAGGATTAACTCTAATCCCATTGTGGCAACCAGCCTCTAACTGCTGCGACAACTTCAAGTTAACTCTAACTTGAATACTCTGAGTACCTATTACAATTGCCTCTAGATAAAGCTGAAAGGTACAATATGAAAACACCTACTACAATTGAACTAGAATAAAAGACAGACACTTGGAGCTGGTTCTTCTATCTGGTTCATGTAACTTCAGGTTCGCACACTTGAATCACACACGAACTGCTTGCAAAATGCCCTGCTATTTTGCTCTCAATTCACGTTTAACTTCTGCTTTTGTGCGTTACCTGTAGAGTGAGAACATCCTACAATATATAGAGTTAGTAGATGAAGAAATAACTAGAGTTTTAATGCTACTCTTCCTTGGTGGAAGAGTTCTAGTTAATCTCAACTCCTAACTCCTTCCTTATCTTGGATAGTGTTCTCGTTGATTAAGGAGTCCCTCTCGTTATCATTTATGCAATCTTTTCGATCAGGAGATATCTATTATTATGCCAGATTTCGTTTATCTCCTGCATGTGCATCTCACATGCTCGAATCTGCCCATGTCTATGCACACAAGGGATGGACCTGATTCATGCTTGAGCTTCCTTTGTCAATCTTCACAACTAGCCTTCACTTAGGCCAACAAATCCCCCCCTTTTGATGATGACAAACTCTTTACTTTTCATAAGCTTAGGCCCTGTTTCAACTTAGCCCAACATCAACATAATGTTAGAACAATTTTCACTTATCATAAAGGACCAGGTTCATTAGGTTATAAACATCACTGTTCAAAGTGTAAAGCACAACCTTTTTCCCCCTTTTGGAACCATCGAAAAGTTGCATAAAAAATGTGAGATAACCAGATTTTAAAACTTACTCATGGCCACTGGGCTACTTCAAATGCAATCATGGATTAATCATCATAGATCAAGCTAAGAATTTTAACCATCAAAGAAATATAAACAAAAGTTAGAGAAAAAATAGTAAATTTCATTGATGATTGATAAAATTCTACCACAAAGCATAAAAAGAAATAAAAACACTGGAAACATGAGCAAAAAAAAAATTCCAAACTGGGTCACTGGTTGATCTACACTAGGCTAGGAGCTTAAGGCTAGGAAGAACTATTTATCATTCTTCTCCTTTTCTCTTGCCAGCGCAGTTCTGAGAGCAACTCTCTCTGTCTCCACCTCAGCCAACCTTTTCCTCAGCCTCTCAATCTCAGCATCCTTAGCCCCACTTTCTTGCACCAAGGCTCACACCTTGCTATTCACTGGTACCTTCTTAGATGAACCACGTTCTTTAGGAGTGACATGGATTTCATAGTCACAAGCAGGCAGCGTATTTGCCCCAAAATGATCCTTGCTTATACCAACCTCCCTTTCTTCTTTGGATTATAACTTTCAGTCACTCTCTTCAGTAGGTCTGCGAGGGTTTCCTGTTCAGATGAAACAAGTTTATCTATATTTTTTCCAAGTTGAACCAGCCCTTCAGCGGCTTCGCCAGACCCACTTCCCTCTGTTTTCTTTACACTCTCCTCTACTACAGCATATTTTTCTCCCCAAACAACCATTGCACATGTGTCTTTGGTTAAAATCACAAGAGTGGGTGAAGAATCAACCACTCTTTTACCCATTTCCCTAACAGCACTTCGAACACCCTTGCTCTCTTTTTCTTTTTCCTTTTTATTTTTACCACCAATTCCTCCAGACTCTGTAGTTTCAACATCTGCTATAGACCCTACTAGTACAAACCTATTCTCCAAATTTGTACCTGTTCAATTTCATAAAAAATAGTTTCTTCCCCCTCAGTAGCAGATTTGAATGATTCATTAGATTTCTGGGGTTCTTCTTCCTTACCCGCTTTTAATATTTATTTTCTTGATTTGTTCTCTCGTTGCAACAACCTTGCGAGCAAGCATCTTTACTCTTTTTTCTTTTTAGAGATTGGGGTGGTGGAAGGGATGATAGTGGGTGTGGAAGTCTAATCAAACTGAATTTCAGTTTTGTAAAGACTTTGGAGTGTATCCCTAAAATCTAGGCACTTCAATTCGGTTGGGACTCTTTTGAACAGAACTGGTTCACTTGTAACGGATAAGTCCAAAATGAGTTTGGAATTAAGTAAGACTCTGCTCATGATCCAAATATTATTATTTCAAATTATGCAGAGTGTAGAAAACATACCGTGTTATCTTGATGAACCAGGTTATTCACTGATAATTCTCTTGTGTAAGTCTAAATTTTCCAAAATAGAGAAAATATCATTAGAGATTAATGAGTCATTTTAATACATGGAACAAGAGTATACTATTGAAAGTATAAATCTGAGCAAAAATTAATCTAATTATATACACATTTTCAGATTTTCTAACCAAAAACAACAATTTGTTTTTTAATTTTTTTTTTCAATTTTTTTTTCGTTGTGAATTCTGAACTGATCCTTTTAGGTGATCTTAATCATCCCTAATTCTAACATGTTCCTTTCAAGGTGATCTCTACATAGGGCTTTTTTGAAGATGTCAGCTATTTGCTTGTCAGTAGCACAAAATTCCACAGTGATCTACCCCTTTTCATAGTTATCCCTCAAAAAGTGATGCCTAACATCTATGTGCTTAGTTCTCTTGTGACGAACCGGGTTCCTAGTCATTCTAATTGTACAAGTGTTATCACAAAAAATGGGGATACAACTAACATCAATTCCAAAGTCCATTAATTATTGTTTGATCCATAACAATTGAGCATAACATGAGGCAACAACAACATACTCAGCTTCAGCAGCCAAGAAAGTGTGCCATACCTAAGGTGCTCTTTCTATCCACTAGAAAACCTACATAATCAACATCAGCATATCCCACTAGATTGAAATTACTACCTTTTGGATACCATAGACAGAGATCAGTGGTGCCTTTTAGATATCTCAAAATTCTCTTGACATCAGTCAAGTGAGACTCCTTTGGATTTACCTGAAATCTTGCACAAAGGCCTACACTTAAAACAATGTCAGGTCTACTAGCAGTGAGATACAACAATGAGCCAATCATTCCCCTATACAACTTCTGATCAACACATGAACCAGGTTCATCTATATCCAACTTTGTAGCTGTTGCAATAGGAGTGTCAATTTCTTTGGAATCTTTCATTTTAAACCTTTTAAGCAACTCTTTTACATACTTNTTCTTTGGAATCTTCCATTTTAAACCTTTTAAGCAACTCTTTTACATACTTCTGCTGATGGATCATAGTTCCATTTGAATTTTGTTTAATTTGTAAGCCTAAAAAGAAATTAAGCTCACCCATCATGCTCATTTCAAATTCACTCCCCATTAGTTTAGCAAATTCTTTACTTAACTTATCAGTAGTTGTTCCAAAGATTATATTATCAACATATATCTGAACTACCAAGAGATCTTTACCTTTTTCTTTCAAGAACAAAGTATTGTCAATTTTACCTCTCTTGTAGTCATGCTCAAGCAAAAACTTTGATAATCTTTCATATCATGCTCTTGGAGCCTGCTTGAGCCCATAAAGTGCTTTGTCAAGTTTGTACACATGATCAGGACTCTCCTTGCTTTCAAACCCCGCAGGTTTCTTGACAAACACTTCTTCCTTTAGATAGCCATTGAGGAAGGCACTCTTGACATCCATCTGATAGATGGTGAATTCCATGTAAGCAGCAAAGGCTATAAGGAGTCTTATTGCTTCCAACCTTGAAACTGGAGCAAAGGTTTTATCATAGTCTATGCCCTCATCTTGGCTATATCCTTGAACCACCAATCTTGCCTTGTTCCTTGTAACTGTTCCATCTTCATCAAGTTTGTTTCTGAAGACCCATTTTGTGTCAATTATTGATTTGTCCAAGGGTCTTGGTACCAGATGCCAAACTTGACTCCTTTCAAATTGGTTGAGTTCATCTTGCATTGCATTTACCCAGTCTGCATCCTGCAAAGCCTCAGCAACATTTTTAGGTTCAATAAGAGATAAGAAAGTATCAAAAGCATAAAGATTCTTTAATGAAGATCTGGTTTTGATTCCAAAGGTTGGATAAATGGGATGAGAACTTTGATACTTATAAAATTTCACAACCAACTAGTTTCCCCTTGATGTTCCTTCAGTGTTTTGTTGATGTGGAACAAGTTCATGGACAGGTTCCATTGAGGTTTGGGGATCATTTTCTCTTAGTTTTGTTCCCCCTGTCATGTTGCTCTGGGTGGAAGAACCTGTTCCATCACTTGTTCCT